GAGGAGAAGGAGATTTCGTTAGGGTCACTCGACTTTGCAGGAGGATACGGGTTATCCTTAGGGAATGTACGAGGATAATTTGGTTAAACTGAAACTCGATTCAGTGTTTCGCGTGGTTCGAAATTGATTGGTCGCGCGATGTTATCAACAGGTCTGGTTCGGTTCTTTCTCTCTCTCTCTCCCTCGTGTTGAGAGCACGTAAAGCCTCGTTCGGGATTAGGGAAGTTTGAGATCGTTTAAGTTGAGTTATTCGAGTCGAAGTTGTTTGAGGTAAGATGGTTTCAATTTGATGGTTAATGGGAATTATACGTAATTTCGCGTAATGTAAACAGGAATATTTGGGAATGTTTGACAATTTGTTCAATTTGTGATTGAACACGAAGAAAAATATTTCGGATGGAGGGGGGAAATAATAATTGTATTGTTATTATTTCTGATAAAATAATAAAATGAATACTTGAATTCGAACGATACGAAGATAAGTATATTTCTGAAAAGAAACATGAAACAATATTTTCGAGTTTCATGTTTTATTCGTAGTTAAATTATTTCGAGTATTTTGAATTTTACTATAGAGAAGTGAGAGGTAACAATATTGCGATAATAATTTAATCCATACATTTTTACGTGAAAATTTTAAAACTTGAATTTTGTCTTCTAAAATGGAAATATAATAAAAAAAGAAAGACAAAGAGAGAGAGAGAGAGAGAAGAATTAAAGCGTAGCAATTCATAGCATTGCGATGGTCCAATGTAAATGAAAAAGCCCCAAGGAACGAAGAGAACAATTTTATCGGAAAGAGAAAAACTGCAAATGCTTGCCCATATAACGCGCACTCCCATTTGTTATTTTCACGCTTACCCTCTAACTGCGATAAATTTCCACGAAGCATTAATCTATCTAAGAATAGGGATCGTTTTATCGAAAGTGAGAATCGAGATCCGATTTTTTTTAATTCCCAATTTCGGTTCATTTTATTTAGATTCGAACATTATTCCCAATATTTTAAAATAGAATAATAAAAAGGATATAAAATAATACGAAGAATAAATTTTATATTGCTATTTTATTAGAAACTTTTCTAATTTCGAAGAAATTGTTCACTCATCTAGTTTTTTTCTTCAAAGCTAAAGAAATATTTTATATATCAGATTAATCGAGATACTAATCTATGATTCACTCTTTATTTTTACTACCTCTATTCCAACTTTCCCACTTTGTGAAATATCACTCATCGATTATAAAATGGTATCATCTTGCGATAATAATCTTGCAATAATATTCGAAGGAGAAAGCAATTTGATAAAAGATAATTTTTAAAGATTTTAATGATATTTCAGATCTGCCTCGTTTTTCTCTATATATATAAAATAAAAAGAAATCATCAAACATCATTACGAACGTGTTGGCCAGCAATTCACAAAAAGATGTTTAAATACTACTTCGAAATGCTTGGTCATTCTCTCCGCTCATTGCACTCTTTTATATTTCCTACCGTGTGCAAATAAATAATACGGAAGACGGCGGAAGCGGATTGCGGACACCCTAATCTGATATTTCGACGCGAGGGGAGCGAATATTAATGTCGATCCGCTACGGCCAAAGGCGTATGCCTCGTGTACGCCTTTATCCGGCCACCAGTCAAGACCTACGTAATCCACCGGCACCCTATAAGGCTAATGAGTCACATCATAGACGACCGCCATAGAATGTTAAGACGCTCTAATAGCTTTTGCGGAAGTCGGACCGCCATTGTCGCTATATTCCAATACTTTAATCGTCACGGCTAAGCAAGCTTTCGAAAGCAGAATGGACGATGCGTATGTTTCAATACCTTTATTCGTTAAAGGTAAGCGGAGAGATAAAGGTTCGAAGAGAAATTGTGCTAATACGATACTTTAATCGTGTGGTTAAGCAGAGAAATTTTCAAAAGAAGATCGTACTTAGGACATACAATAAAGGAATAGGAAGATATTTGTAACGGGAACGTTTTCTTTCGAAAGGGATATGTATCGAGGAATTAAGGTGGCTTCGGTGCGTATCTCGAATAAGCAGCTTTATCGAGTCGAGCTTATGTGTGTGTGTGTACATTAAACACGTGATGGAATGGAGATCGATCTTCGATGAGATAGCCGAATTCGAATGTTGGCCACGAGTTGGAACGTGGCGCTCTGTGACTGAATCGAAGGCTATGTGACGAAGATAATTATCTTGCGTGGAAAAAGTTACTAGATGATGACTTAATTGCATGCATTTGCATAAATACTCGAAATATTGAGAATAACAATATATCGTTTAAAAAAAAAAAAGAAAGGAATATTTTTTTAGAAACTATGTTTTCCTTTTCGAGATCACATTTTGTTATTGGAAGTATAAAAATTTGGTCGCGCTTTCATACAAAAATGGATGACGTAAACGTAGAATATTTGAAAATGAATATACGCGAAAAATGTATACAAGTATACATTTGACCATTGATACAGAAGATATTCATATTGTTGTTATGCAGAAAGGGATTTGCACGGGGTATCAAGTTGGTGTTTTAAGTCTGGATGCAAATGCGAATGGAAACGTTGAAAAGTAATAATGAAAGTTGATTGTGTATCGAATAGAATTTCGACGTGATACGCGCAACGTGGCAGAATTTATTGAGAGATTAACACCCACCATGTGTAATATCAAAGTATTACGATCCTTATCTGTAGACTGTCTAGACTCTAGACGTTTCCGTGACTCATAGAGACTCAAGAGGATATCGAACACGTAAGAAACGAGAAACACTTTACCTTGATCGATTATATCACAGCTGGGTTTAAAAAAGAAAAAAGAAAAAAGAAATAGAAAAAAATTCATCTAAATATTGTTTCCATGTAATCGCACGTGGTAAAAAAAATCAATAATTACAGTTTATTACGGTACATCACAAGTGTTAATTATTTAAACAGAATCGATTAGAATTGCAAATACGATGAAATTTGAAATCGAATGCAAATAAAAAGTGAATTAATTTGAATAAAATCGATTAATTTGCATTCCGTTGATCCTGCAAAGATCGAGCGTGTCGGAGACTCTGAGAAAAAACCTACTGTAATCGCCAACAGATGGTAGCACTCTATCAGAGCATCTCCTCTTCTCGTTCACCCTTCTTGCTCCACCTATACTACATCCGACATAACATTTCCTCCTACGTTACATTTTCATCGTACTTTATTGAACTTGTACTACTATCGAATCAATATCTTTGTACGTAAAATATAAGTTGATTATATTTCGCTAAAAAAAAGCAGAACTAATAAAAAAAAAAACCGAAAGAAATTCGATATATCTTAAATATACAAAAGTGTATGTACAAAAAACTTTATAAATAGATGTTTCTACAATTAAATATATATATATATATATATATATATATTATAAGTAGAATTGATCGTCATAAATCAAACATGCCCATTACAATTCCATTTTTCTACCTGTTCATATACCATAAAGACTTACAATAATTTATAACTTCTTATTTATCCCTACAACTTTTCCACTAACTTTCTTTCCAATATTTCAAATTTAGAGCCATTTGTATTCTCGTGCCATTCGTCCTTCGAATTACAAATTCCTGCTTTCCCTATTCTACAAACGAGTACCCGACGAGTGCTCCAGGCGCGACTCGATATTCCCTCCCCCCACCCCATCGATCTGGCACGCTCTCCAGTTACATTCCCTACATGCATCTATTCGATTCGACGATTACGGAGTGCGCCCTCGATTCCCCTCGAGCGGACAACGCACACCCACGTCGGTCGCCCAATTTTCCACGAGCGAGCGAACGAGCACTCGAGGATGTATCGGAGAGGCCACAGGTATTCGGCTGGGCCCCGACAGGCCGCACACTTTTTCTCCCCCACGCATTCCACGGGATCGAGTGGCCCCGAAGGGCCTCGACCCACGCGCCGCGACACGGCCGCATCGCTTCGCCGCTCAAAGTCGAATGACGATCGCGCCCCCACCACCCACGCAACCGTCGCGCGCGGCACGCTCGTCCTCGGGTGGCGCGCGTGGAGGGGGTAGCGCGCGGCCAATCAGCGCTCGTTCGTCGTACGCCGCGTCGAATCTCGGTCACGTGATTGGCGGCCGCCGATTCTTCGTCTCGCTCGCAGTCGCAGTCGAGCAGCGTCGTTCCCGTGGGTCTGGTCGGTTCGTAGCTCGCGATCCTTCAGGTTGTCCTTGTTCGACCTTCGCAAGGGTGAGTCCCTTCGTCCTTTACCGATCTTTTACCCCCATCCACTGCGCCGCTCGGCCTCTCTCGCCTCGTTTCGTGGAAGAGAGACGCGAGAGCACGATCCTCCGAACGATCCTCGTCGCACTTACCGCGCTTCTACGAACTCCTGGGCTTGCTTCCCCCTCCCTGCCGCCCTTTTACACGCTTTGCCCGTTTCCACCCTTTGTAGAGCGGCAGAGTTCAGCGATTGGAATACTTGGCTGACTTCACTCGGCGCCGGAACCATCCGCGCGCCGGCTCCGCTGATTATCTGCCCGCCGAGCCTTTGACACGTCCGTGCTCTCAGCTAGAGATACTCCCAGCAGATAGCTAGGGAATCGGTGTACACGAGTTGGTTCGAGTGACGCTTCGCTAAGCGATTCGTTATCGAGGAAACGCGATTCTTGTTGCGGAAATGGAATAGGAACCGGGGTATTGCGATGCGACGTTTTCTACGCAGAACCTTCGACTGTATTCAGTCGGGGTCGTTGGTATTTCCCGGAGATAGAGCGTAGGGAATATCCACTTGCTGGTATAATTTTTCGTTCCACGAGTGTAAAAATATTTTCGTCACGTAACGCGGTAATAAACCCAATGGATCCCATTATATTCTTATAAATTTGTGTTTCGTCTTGCTATTTATATAAAAAAAAAAAAGACACAAAGATTTCCAAATTCCTCAACAAGAGTACTACTTATCCCATTACACATCCACAGCAAAAACCTAATAATTATCTTTTGAACGAGCAATTTGTCCATCACTTTCTTCTTTCTTTTTTCTAGAAATTTCTTTAAATTTTCCGTTCGAAGTCCGGGGAGAATAAAAATCGGAAATCGATCAATCAAGAATTTGGTTCGCTCACCGAAACTTACGCAATCCGGGCCAGGCTCTATCGGATCCAATATCAATTACGGGACGGTTGCATACGACATATCGGAAGAAATACAACGTATCCGCGTTTCGTGCCGGGCATACGTGCACGTATGCGCCGAGATAAATGCCGTGGCGCGCGTTTAATCGGTCGCACAAGTAGAAAGAGTAATTTCGAAAGACTCGGGGAGGGAGTAGGAGGCACGTGCCAGTGGTGCGCGCGTGCGCTCGACGCACGGTGGCACTCGGCTATTTTCGAAGAACGTGATATAAGTCCCGATGACGTTCGTGCCCGTTCAATGTGTACGTGCGTCCCTGTCTAGAAATTACCATTGCCACTTCCCTCGATCGCGGCCAGCCGGTTTTAATGACCTTTCGACAAGCGATACGCGTCACGAGACTAATCGCCTCTCCCCGGGAAAACACCGCGCCGGCATTGTTCCTTATCGGCGCTCGTTCACGATCCGGCCACGATTTCGTGTCTGACCTCATCCATTGTTTACTCCTTCCTTACTTTTCATTAATTTTCCTTTTTCCACCGAACGCGCTCGTACGCGCTTCGACATTCTCGATCGAACGCTTCACGCTCTCCTCTTCCTTCTACGCTATTGGAAAGCAACTATTATTATTATTATTATTATTATTATTATTATTATTATATCTTAATGTTCGATGCGATCCCATTGTTCGGAATTGCAAAATTTCTTCCTAATCCCTGGGAAAAATATTCGAGCGGAGATAATAATTCGACGGGCCGGGGGTCGAAATTCGCGCATTTCGAAAAGGAGGGGAGCGGAGGGAGAGAGGAGAGAAAAAAAAGAGAGATCGAGGAGGAAGATCGAAGAAAGGAGGGAAAAACAGTGGATGACAGTGCAGAAAAATCCGATCGATCCCCGGAGCGGCGGTCGGGGTGGGGGATCCGCGCGAGGCAAGCCGCCACGGCCGTCGGTTCAGATCCGCTCAGGAGGGGGTTCTAACCCTGGGTGGGGGCTCTTAAAGGCAACCGGGTGCCGTCCGACCGTCGGAATTCGGGTGGTGGAAGGGAAGTCCAGGTTAACCGTCACGCGCTATCCCCTCCCCTGACGGCTGGTCGCCCCCACCCTTAAGGTGGCAGCGCCTCCGCCGGGCATTCCATCGGGTGGCACGCTTCGACGAGACGACAGAAGACGTTCGTCGTTCGTACGCTCGGTCAGTCGTGCTCTGACGCCCGTTCCGAGTGGTCGGAGTTCAGTGAGGCGAACAACAGAGAGGAAAAGAGAGAGAGAGAGAGAGAGTCGAGCAAGTAGTACGGATACTACAACAGTACGTTCTCGCGCATCGAGAGTAGAGAAAACTACCCTTACCCCGAATATATTTCTTCGTTCATCGTCCGGCCAGTCGCTCGCTATTGCCAGCCTGGCCAGGCGTGCAGTGAATAAACACACGACGAGCAGTTGAGCAGCGTAATATCGCGCTACTCTTTTGGATTACCAGTGCAGTGTAGCAGCGAATAAGACGACAAATTGTGACGGCGAACAGTTTGTCGAATTCTCGTTGATCTCGTTGATAATTTTGTGATAAAAAAAAACTTGTTGTTGTACGATGGTGACCGGGGTGGGTGCCACGATGCCGACAGGCGGTGTCACCGTCGGTGCTACGCCGCCGGCGCAACACGTGCCCCAGGAGGCTGGACAACCCCCTGCCCAAACCACCACCACGACCACCACCACGAGAAGATCTGGGGAGAATCGACGGGTTAGTGTCTTTGAACAAATTTCCTCGAATTGCGGAATTTGTTTGATTCGGTTCGCCGCTTGAAGGTGAACGATCCAAGTCGCGTTGTTCGAGAATTTTTCTATTCGAGACCGTCTATCTTTTCGAGATTGTCTACTAAGATCTATCAAGATCTAAGAAGAAGATAGTATATATATATATATATATATATATATATATATATATATAAAACTATCACGAATCCTTCCTTCTCGAATCCTCGCGTGTCCACCCAAACCCTCCCTGTGAACAAAGACACGAGAGGGTCCGACCCATCGATCTCGTATCCTAGCGGTTCGATCGATCGAGCGTTACAACAACAACGGGCGAAATCCTTTTTCTTCGGAAGGAGCGGCGCGGCGTTACATTTTCGTTTCACCTGCCGCAAATGGGGGCGGGGGCAGGCGTCGAGGTCTTCCTAGGCATCTACTAGGCCACGCTTTTTGCCCGTCTCACGAGCCAGGCCGAAAGAACTCGGGATATCTGCTAATACGTTTCTCGGCCGAGTGATCACCTGCCGGCTCCTTTTCGTCCATTGGATAATTGCGCCCGGCCAAGGATCGCGGTTAGCTGGGAATTCTTCTAGCCTCCTAGGCATGCCGCGATTTCGAAAAACACGCGGAATCCCGCCGCTCGAGATCCCACTCGCTCCAAATTCGCTGCGATTAACCCCCGTAATTAGAGAGCCGAGAAATCTTAGGAATGGAAATTCGAACTCGACGAATTACGTTTCGAAAAGGTATGTCGCCATCGTTGAATTTGGTTTGCCCAAGGGTATATATATATATATATATATATATATATATATATATATATATATATATAGATGGTAGCGAGAATCGATCTGAAAAAGTTTCGTGAAATAGAGTTGTCGACGGATATATTATACCCGATTGGCCTCGTCGATGTTCTATTGTCCGTCCTTGTTCACGCCGAACAAATGGCAACAAAGTATTCCGGCAATTTTGCAACGTTGCCCAACCCCCCGAGTTTTAACGTTAGAAATCGAAACTAGCTTAACTGAAATATTATCGACGATTTATTTGTGTCTGACGTAGCGGTTCCGTTTCTGTTACAGAGTAACAAGCCGATTATGGAAAAGCGCAGACGAGCCCGCATTAACAATTGCCTAAACGATCTGAAGACCCTCATACTGGATGCCATGAAAAAAGACGTGAGTACACAACAACGATTTTCAACGTTATTTTTACTCAAATTTTCGATCCTCGACCCCGATCGAGATTTTCAATTTCTCTTCTCCCTTCGATTCTTCTTCGATCCTCGAACGAGTCACAAATTTCAAACAGGACAAGTTCCAATCGACGAAATGAACTCGTACAAAGTCACGACAAATAGATCGTTTTGTTACCTCCTCTCGAAACTTTTCACTCGAAAACCTGTGCCAACTCTTCACAACTGTTACGTAACCGGCCCTCTTATCTTTGCGATTACAGCCAGCGCGACACTCGAAGCTGGAGAAGGCGGACATTCTGGAGATGACGGTGAAACACCTGGAAACACTCCAGCGTCAACAGGTTGCCCTGGCAGCGGCCACCGATCCTAACGTGTTGAACAAATTCCGCGCCGGTTTCACGGAATGCGCCGGCGAGGTTGGCAGGTTTCCCGGCCTGGACGCCTCCGTGAAGAGACGTTTGATGGCCCACTTGGCCTCCTGCCTCGGACCGGTCGAGGCGAGCAACAACAACGGGCAGACGGCGAATCAGCAGCCCGTGCAACCGGCGCCACCGACCACCCAGCTCCAAGTGCACATTCTGCCCCAAGTGGACGCGACGCCGAGGATCCAGGTGCAGCAATCGAACGGAATCTTTTTCACGAACGCGAACGGGATGGGCCTCCAACTGGTGCCCACCAGATTGGAGAACGGCGACATCGCTTTGGTGCTACCCGCCGGTGCAAAGGCCACCCCGGTCGCGTCGCCAGCCTCGTCCCCCGCGCCGACCTCGCCCATGCCGGCCCTGATCCCGATCCCCCAGAGAACGGCAAGCACGGCGTCCGCCTCGTCCTCATCGAGCTCAGCGAGCTCCACGTCCACGTCCGCGGCGAGTCCTGTGGCGTTCGAGGCACCGCCAGCGACTTTCCGCGACCAGCCTGCCGCCTATACAAACGGGAACAGCCACAGGGACGTGGCGACGTCGCCCGCCAACGGTTACACCAGCGATCCAGAGTTCGATCCCCGCGTGTACAGCAGCCCGCCTCTTCAGAAACCGCTCGCCCTCGTGATGAGGAAAAGCGTGGTGCGGGAGGTGGAAGAGAAACCGTGGAGGCCGTGGTAAAAAGGGGGACGAAGGAGGTGCGAAGAAGGAAGGTGGTGTCTGGATCTCTGTTTGTTGTGTTGTTTAAAAAAGACGGAGTCAAGTCGGCGTCGCGGGTGATATAAGGACGATATAACGAAGTATCTCGAGTGATGTATGTATATATATATGTTATGTATATATATATATGTTATACGCTTCGAATTTGTTCCGGGAAGAGAAGAGTGATTTTCGAGGAGAGAAGACCCGCGTCACGATCACACACACGGATCATTGTTCCTTACTGTATCGCGTTTTCAGAAGTCGTGTTCTTTCGTTGAGGAAGAAGGGTGAAAGGAAGTGTGCTAGAAGCATTTCCTCGCCGATGGATGAAGATAGAAGAGTTCGATATTCGTTGCCCGAGTGCGTGCAGTCGGCCAGTAGCCTATGAGGCAGTGCCTTATACAGTGCCTTGTAAATATTATTTTATCTCATTCGTTAGAGGAATCGTCGTATTCGTCGGAGTAAAGAAAATTCGTTTCATTGCTTTGTTGAATCCATTTACGTTTCTCGTTAACGTCTGTCCATTTCGTTTCGTCCCGTTCTTCCCGTTCATTTCTCCCCTTTATCCATGTTTTCGCGTTCTATTTCGTTTCTATTGTGTATATATCATTAAACGAATATCGTATTTTAAGTGCCTTACGCAACAAGAATCACCGAGGTCTTCCATTCTGTTTCTTGTACGTGAAAAAAAAAAAAAACGCCAAGCGAGTGTTTTGTCATGTATCGTGGTTGTAATAAGTACGAGGAACGTTTGTAAAATTAACCGAGAAATCGCCTAGTTTGTAGATTACATGTTAAGATGCGTATATGAGAGAGAGAAAGAGAGAGGAGGATACGAGAGGCTGCATGTCCGTATGTACGTGTGATTGTGTTAATTTATATTTATATCGAGTGCAGAGAAACGAAATTTATAATTCCTCTCTATCGTGAGAATAGAAAAAGATCGACGCTTATCATTGCAAGAGTATCAAATAAATATTGATCTCTTTGTCAAAACTTATATATTGGTCTTATTCGTTCATTTCCTCTTCTTTCCTTACCATCATTACTCTTTTATAGTCGATAAGTTCATCTTCCAAGATCATCTTCCAAATCAATCTCTTCAAATTTCTTTATTACCTTATTATACTTGAAATTTACCCTTCAAATTATTTCATCGCTACACAATCTTACGATCGTCATACTTATTCTCTCTCTTTTATTCCTTCAATGTATCGTAAGAATACGCAACATCGCAGAGAAAGATCGTTTCTTTCGTACGGAAAATAATAGTCGTAGGTAATCGAGACGTTTAAAAAACCGTTGCAAAGTGGGCCTCATCATGTGCATCGCTGCAGCTTCCAACGCGTACTGAGCAAAGGAGGTGACCGTGCACGTTCGCAGAGGTGCTGCCACCTGAAGGAGAATACAGGAGGTTCTCCTTCGAGTTAAACCGGTCTACAGACCCCTTTCGTAGTTGTGGCGCCCGACGAGGTCCCAAAATCCCTGCCACCACCGAGCCAAGCCGAAAACGGGGATCTTCAAGACTATGCTGCCTCCTAGCGGTGGGTCCTCGAACTTCGGGGCCCTTCCACATTCCGAACACGTGCCCTTTTCGTCGTCCAAGGATCACAGAGGGCGTCTGCAACCTGAACCAACCGTATCTCGTCGCCTTTATATTTTCCATCGTTCCGCGAATTGTAAAAGTACAAGAAAGAAAGTAAGGGATTAAAAGTTATCAGCGAACGCTGAAGAATCTAATCTCTCGAGCCCGTTCAACGATAATAGATTATCACGATCGAGAGTCTCTCTCTCCTCCAAGTAATAATCCCGTGAGTAATTTTCCAGGAATTCTTGCTCGGAAAATTCTCAATACGAGTCGACGCTTACTAAAAATATCGTGTTCGTCGTATTTCCACAATGAAATACTCTCGGTTTCAACGGTTCAGAAGTTATATTTATTCGCATCTGCCGATGCTCATTTCCGCTATTGCACAGATTTTCTGGTTCCGATGACGATGACACGAGCCTCCTCCAATCGATGTCCGACCATAAAACGTTGCGTCGGTGTTCGAATCGTAATTCAAACTCTTAATGGTTTCGTTACGAAAGCAGGAAGTGCCGGGAGGAAAGTTGGATCGTCGCCTAAGCGTCTGGTTTTTGCAAGAAAGCACACTATATCGGTGTATTACCATAATGCGGCTCTGGCTGGCCGGTGGCGTCTCTGGCACCGCAATTTGCGGCGCAGAAGTGGCAGCAGTGGCACACGCGATACAGTGGCCGAATGACAAGCTGTACGGTAGCACCTTATTATTTCCGATCGTGAACCATCATGGGCCCCTAGGTCAAAGTAATAGCGGGCTCGAGGCCTCGCGGCTACCTTTCTTGGAAACGATCGGCGAGACGATCCAACGGCGGGAGAGGATTTTCCATCTGTGATCTCAAACGTGAGTGATCAAAAGCCTCGTGACGATACATTCAATGACGATATACCTCTTTGCGGCCTATCTTGCCACTTAGAGTGTATCGCTCTAAGCGACGCGTAAGATTTCCAGGTATAAAAATGACGATTTTACACGCAGGCCGGCCGGTTTGTTGCATAAGTAGCAACAGACACGGGAATTAGAATTCCTGGTTATCTGCACTACGTCGAGTTGGTTATCTTTTGTTACGTAAAATCTCGAGGCAAACAGGTCTCACGAGATACGAGCACCGAGCTTTGACCGGATTCTCCTCTCCTAACCTCTCACGTACGATTTTCATAGACTCGGCAAGAAGCGAAGCGAATCCACATTTCTTCGAAATCGTGGACGGGGCATGATTATCCCGTTCGGGGAAACCGTTCTTTTATTTATCAGACCCGACCCCCAGCCCGCCTCTAATCGTCATTACGATGATAATCGAGTCGCATAATTCCTCCTAGGTAATTTAATTTAATCGAATACGATTTTTCGCGTCCTCGCCTCCCAATAATATATGCGAGAGAGAAAAAATTGCGGGTTCGAAGTCCATACGGCGCCGAGTCCGTTACATGGACGTTTCCAACGGCGAAGAGAGGTTATGTTCTAACGAATATTTCGTGTTATATACGTCTTAATTGAGAAACTGTATTATAGCAAATTAAGGGAAATTATATTATGAAATGTAACATCGTTCAGATTACATTGCGAAAAAAAAAAAAAAGAGAAATTGGGATCTAAACTGGACGCGAAGTAGATGTTGTTGGCTTCCCTGTCACCTTTAGCACCTTTGTGCCCTCCTCGTATGACCTTCAATACGTATACGCGACCTGCTAAAATTGCTAATGACACACATTGGGCGGGCAAAAAATTACATTTCGAAATCGTAATCACGCAACGTGGAAAAGCGATTGGCAATAATTAATTAAATGCAACGATTAATACGGGGATTTTATGACTGTGTCTAATTTTACCGTTTTTCGCATACGCGTGGTATGCATATGAGATTTGATACTTCTGACCTGAATATATAAGATATATGGAACGACGTGATGAACGTGTTATCTACGTATATACGTGTTTAGATGCGTATTAATTTATCAAATAGAAAAAGAAAGTGAAGATACTATGACTGTCACTTTTAAGCCAACTTTTGCCGTATTCACGTGTAATCAGATTGTAATCGTATATATTGGATTTCTTCTGTCAATTTTTTATGGCTACCAAAATTTCCTTACTTTATTCGCCAACATTGCGCGCAATTAGTTATTCACTTATTTAATAATACCGAATTACATCCTCTTTACAAAAATATATTTAAACCGATTTTATCCGTCATGTAACTTTCACATTTCATACGAATAAACGATTTAATTAATCCCAACCGACACAGATCGACACGCGCTCTTAAACATAAAACGCCAAGCAACGTTAAATTTACAGCTTCTCGAGCAGAGATACCGTGTTACAAAAAAAAAAAAAAAGAAAAAAAAGAAAAAGAAAAAGAAAAAAAGAAGAAAAAAACAAAAAAGAAAGAGACGATAGCAGGAAATCCAATCACTCGCATCGCGGACAGCGTAATTAATTATTCCATGCGCATTCACGTGCAGGCCGTGAAAATCCGATCGGGCCACGGATACCCTCTAGGAATTCCCTCTTTGTCGGTCAATCAGCTGATTCCTAGAACCGTGCAAGAGCGTCTAGTAGCGGCGTCGAAGCGACTTGGCTCGTTGTACGGTCGCGGTCGCGTGGTTTCAAGGACAAGGCAAGGTTGACACGCGCCGCCACTCGCGAACAGCAAGTGGGGGGTCTGGCTCGATCTCATTCCCTCCACGCTTCCCTCTCGCTCCCTCTCGCTTCTCGGCATCGCCGCCAATGCCCCTCTCCGCCTCCCCTCTCCCCCTCCTGTCCCGCCACGAGCTTCCGCGCCGCGGTTGGTGACTGCCTTCGCTCGCAGGCCTCGCCGTCAATCTCTTACTGATAAGTGCTATCCGGTGACACGGTGCCGCGGCGAACGATGATTATCTGGCCTCGTGAAAAAAATCATTACACCGCCCAAGGCTCTCCTCTTTCTATACCCTATCCATCTTTCCGACTTCGTTCGCTCGATTCGCCGTTCCTCGAACGCTGGAAATTAAACGTAGGGAATAGAAATTTTTTTCGAAATTTTTTGATTCGAAAAATAGGTACGAGGCATTCATTACGAAACGATTTTTCGATTCTCCGCGACTTATTCGCAAATTAAATTCGTATATTTCCAAATTACAATTTTCTCGATCGTCCATTGAATACATAAACTTTCGCTCGACAATAGTAATTGGTTGATTTTTAAAAGCATCGAAAAACGAAGAATGACGAACGAAAAACGAAAGCCGAAACCATTGTTGGACAACAATTTACGCAACGGGAACGTTTGAACGGCATCATATCGGTTGAGGTAAAAAACTCGCGCGGCGCGAGTGAAACGCGTCGTCCGTCTAATAGTCTGACCGGCGACGTCCTATTCTACTTACGAACCGCGAACGAGGCCTGCATCGAGACCGAGGGGGAAATAAATCAGAATCGGATTGGAGCGCCATAAACGCTTGAAGGGCCACGAACCCATCGAAGGGACGTGGTTATATGCTGTATACGCCATCGAAGATTAGCCGTTTGTCTCGCGTCTCACGTACACGTATCGTCTTCGAAGTTTTTTCCAAGGCGCCGTTTATCGTGCTGCCGTTCGCGAAACGCGCTCCCTTCGCGTGGAAGAAGTAGCCGGCCATTTTCGTGCGTTCCACGTGCCACAGAAATGGTCGTTCGGGTTTCTTCTGCCCTTTGGACCGGGCTTTTGAACATCGAGCGGTTCACTATTGCCGAGGATCAACCGACTGACGCCTGGGGCCTGCCTTTTGGTCAAACATGGCTCGAATGGGTATAAGAAATGGGTGGATTTTTATTTCGTCGTTGCTCGTTGATAGACTCTTTGTTTTTGATAAAAAAAAAAAAATGAGATGTTGATAAAAAATAAAAGTTTCGATAAAAAAAAGAGATATCTCTTATACTGGTTTTGTGACTATGAAGTATATAATTATCATCAATCCGATACACTTTTTATTCATATGTTCTGGAATAATTAGTAATTAGTTGCCTAAAAGCATATGCGTATGTTCTGTAATATAGAATTATTACTACTTCCATTTCCATTTACACGCATTACACCGTGATTAATTATATGAAATTCTGAATAATCATGCGTATACGTATTCTCTTTGTGTTGACTCGAAAAATTAACTCGTGTTCGTATATTGAAAAGAATTTCACTTCATCAAAGTGACATAGCTTAACGCTTCGTCGATTTTCTTTGTACCTCAAAATACTTTTAAATTTCATTAACAAATTTCAGATTATTGTTTTAATAGCAAGAGCAATGATATTCCATTTAATTATAATATATTATAATTTCGTATGTACAATTTTTTACAAAATACGATTTACAAAGTGTTTATTCACAATTTTCTTGAAACTTAATCTTTAAACTTGAATAACCAACTGGTTAAAAACACCATTGTTATAAATCTTC